GTTGCAGCTGCCTTCACCAGCTGTCTATACGTCACTTTCTTCAGTGTGGCAGGTGCTGTGCCTGCCTTGATGGAGCTGAGCATGATCTTGAGTTGTGCCTTCAGGAGTCGAACTGCAGCTTCAGCTCGATTTGGCCATGGTGTGTTCGGTCCCGATGATATCGGTGTGATGCCAAGGGATTGATAGAAATGTTCCCATGTCTCCGTCATGAAGGCTTGATCTGCGACAACTGATTTGGGCTGCAAATGGTACTGGTCAAAATAGTTCCTGTGGACAGTGATGTTCTCGACTTCTTGCGTAGTTGTCACTGCCTCTGCAGTGAGCAATGTTGTTGCTCCATCCAGGAAGACAAAAACAATGATGTGTTCTCCTGTTCCAAGAGGAACTTCACAGTGATCAATGAATGTCATGTCACCAAAGGTGTCCGCTCGAAGTCCACTCGTCTTGCTTCGTGAAGGTGCAAGTTTTGCCGCTTGGCAAACTTCACATTCACTCCTGATTTTGTCAAATAGATCGAATGTTGATTTCGGCAAATGAAGTGAGCGTGTTCAGAATCGAAATTGATCTGTTGTCAAAAGGGGATGCTGGAGGTGGAGCTTCTTCAACTCTTCGGGATTTGACAATCGCTTGTGGATTCTGCCCAGTGCAAGCGGAAGCGCTGCAGGTTCTTCTGAGGATGGTGCGAAAGGATCTGGCTCAATGGTCGACCGCCCCTTCTTGTCGATGATCCTGTCTGCTGCCGATCCTGAGCCTGCTTCTTCGTCCTTAAGCGAATTGTCCGCGAAGGTGAAAATGGTCTTACCTATCCACAGGTTAATCATTGGTTTGTTTGCCTAGGATGTAAGCCTCCAATTGTCTTCTAGAATGTCTGGATCTCCACCTTCGGATGCATCAATGATTTCCGTAGTACGCTCTCGGCTAATGTTATCAGGATTGATTTGGTGCAAACAGTGCCTTTCGAGGCGTGATGTGCACACGGATGAGCTGCTTGTTCTTCTTGTCAAGGATCCAATGGTCCTGCTTCTGAGACCAAATGATTTTAGGAGTTGCTAGGTCCTCCTTCGTCTCGGATGATTTTGCTGCACAAACAGTTTCACTCTTGGAGATATCCCCGGAGGGAAACTTGATGCTGTTGTCATCATCGTAGACGTAGTTGGTGAGGCCCTTCTGAGCAATTTCTCCATGCGCCTTCACTCTTGCAACTCCAGCGAGATCGACGAGTGCATGTCCTGTACTGGATACTGGAACTGCTTGACGGTTCATGCCAAAAGCCTTACATGTGATCTTGTCACATTGAGGTGTGTGCTCGATGGTCATAAGGATCGGTACAGTTCCTTGTTCAAGGACGTCGATGTTGGTACTGCATGGAGGAGTTGTGTGACATCGAAGATGCAGGGTCCAATTTACCCTGGCGGTCTCTCCGTTTCCAAAAGTGAACTTGGTCTCGGCCGGGATGTACTGATAGGAGATGATGTCCTTCATGGGTTCGATGGCCTGAGCAAAACGCTGGATTGCATGCCAGCTGCCCATTGATCTGGTACATCCGTTGTCCAGGATCGCGCTGTGACTTGTTGCGACGGACAAATTGTGTTCTGAAACTGCATCTGATTGGATCAGCTTCCCGTGGATGGCCTCTTTCTCATGATGCTCATATGCGTCATGGAATGCCATTAGCGCTTGTCCTGTGCTGGATGTCTCATGGGATGAGTACCAGCCTTGTTCGTTCCATGTCCATGATTGATCCCACTCTTGGTCTGTCCAACTGGCATAGGTAGGCTCTGTGGATGGTGCAGTCTGCTGGATGGCGGGCTGCTCCTCCGTCTTCTCTGCGATGGCTGCGAACGTCTTGGATTGTCCTTTGTCACGTCCGCCTTTTCCTTTGCCATTCTCATAGGGTGGATAACCCTTGTTTCCATCATAGGGATATTGGAATTTGTATTTTCCTTTCTTTCCCTTCTTTCCTTTGCCTTTTACCCAATATGCCTGGTCGTAGGGATCATAGTTCTCATTGGCCATATTGGCCTTCCCGCCAGAACCGCTTTTTCTGAAGGGCTTAAAGCCACCTCGTTGGTGACTGCCCTTTTTGTTTCCTGATTTTCCTTTTCCATTTCTCTTCTTGAATCTGAAATTCCGCCCTGACACTTTTCTTGCTATGAACCCATCGTTCTCCTCGAGGACCCAGAATGTCTCTTCATCGTTGTTTGACATGAATCCTTCAAGTCCTTCTTCATCCTCAACCCAAAAGCCTTCTTCTCCTTCGTATTCACCTTGTTCGATGATGAAGAATGTGTTGCTTCGGTTGCCTCCTTGAGGTCGGATGGATGGATCTTGAATGAATGTCCTGGTCGTGATGAAGAGTTCATGGTAGTGCGTCTTCAGCATCTCATAGGAGTAATTCTCTAGTGAAATGTTTCTCAATGACATTGCACTTGTCAGTCTTTCTCTCTGCTGATCTGACAATTCACTTTGTATGATGAAAAACTGTGCAATGAGATTATCCCCGAATAGAAATGCGTCCCGCTGTCTGTCCTGCATTCCCGTGATATACTGTCTGAGGACTGTTGGATCATCCTCGCTGAGCAGGACTGGAGGCGGTGCTCGAACCCCGGCTGCTTGCTGATGTCGAGCAATTGTTCTTGCATTTGCGTCCTGTACGGACTGTCGAAATGATGGGGACTGTGCCGTGAAAACTGGCATCAAGGCCATCCATGCTGCCTTCAATCTCATGAGAAGGATTTCGAATTTTGAGGTAAAAATGAGGAACTCTTGGTTCTGCCTTCTATGATTGAAGAAACTGAGGAGCCTGTACAGACACACGTTGGTCGCACCTTTCAAAAAGTACTTCTTCAGCGTGTTCTTGAAGTAGTTGACTCCTTCATCAGGATCTTGCAAAAGGTCATTTTGGAGGACTGCCTTGTACATATAGGCATCTCCTGTGAGTCTGCTTTTGGTGCTTCCACCGTAGTGATTGTCACCCAGTCGTCCACGAGTTCTTCGTACCTAAACCAGCTGACTTTTCCGTCGTACGATGGCGGCTGCTTGGCGGTCATCGATAAATTGAGTGTTTCCTCCGTATAGCCTGTTGGTTGGCCATACTTGAATAGGCTTCCATGAAGCCTTCTCCATCGGATGACATCTTCCCTTGGATCTCTGCGGAAAACCCGCTCCGCTACCACAAATTGAGGCTCACTGCCGGGGGTGCCTATCCCAGAAGGGAACTGGCACCCTGTGGTAGTAGAGGTCGTTGATTTGGTCCCTGGCTCTATTCCGGAGAGAGTCCAATATGCCAGTATGGAGGATTGGAGGATGGATTGTCCCTGGTGGCTTGTGTTGACTCGGAATCCTGTGAAGCGGTCTGCAAGCCTTTTATCACTGTACCATGTGTCGAATGACTGTACAAATGACGTAAAGGGCCTTGAGCCAAAATGAGTAACGGCGTGTATTGAAAGGTCAATTGGTGTAACCAAAAGCAGGGGAAGGTCTTAGGGAGGAAAAGGAAGAAGATCTCAGGGGGGGGAAAGGCCTTAGAAGGGAAAGGGGGGAAAGGATCTCGAACATCGAAGAATTAAGGGGGGGAAAAGGCCTTAGAGGGGAAAGGGGGGAAAGGATCTCAACAGGGAAAGGCGGGCCTTAGGGGGGAAAGGGGGGAAAGGATCTCAACAGGGAAAGGGTGGAAAAGATCTTCGGGAGGAAAAGGGAGAAGTTTTAAGGGGGGAAAAGGCCTTAGGAGGAAAAGGGGGGAAAGGGTCTCAACAGGGGAAAAAGTCCTTAGGGGGGAAAGGGGGGACAGGATCTCAACAGGGAAAGGGGGGAAAAGATCTTCGGGAGGAAAGGGGAGAAGATCTCAGGGGAGGAAAAGGCCTTAGGGGGGGAAAGGGGGAAAAGGATCTTAACAGGGAAAGGGTGGAAAAGATCTTAGGGAGGAAAAGGGAGAAGATTTCAGGAGGGAAAAAGTCCTTAGGGGGAAAAGGGGGGAAAGGATCTCAACCGGGAAAGGGTGGAAAAGATCTTAGGGAGGAAAAGGGAGAAGATCTCAGGAAGGAAAAGGCTTTAGGGGGGAAACGGGGGAAAGGATCTCAACAGGGAAAGGGGGGCAATCTTAGGGAGGAAAAGGGAGAAGATCTCAGGGTGGGAAAAGGCCTTAGGGGGGAAAGGGGGGAAAGGATCTCAACAGGCAAAGGGGGGAAAGATCTTAGGGAGGAAAAGAGAGATTATCTCAGGAAAGGGGGGAAAGGATCTCAACAGGGAAAAGATCTTAGGGAGAAAAAGGGAGAAGATCAGGGGGGGAAAAGTGCTTTGGGGGAAAGGGGGGAAAGGATCTCAACAAGGAAAGGGGGGAAAAGATCTTAGGGAGGAAAAGGGAGAAGATCTCAGGGGGGAAAAGGCCTTAGGGGGGAGGATCTCAACAGGGAAAGGGGGGAAAAGAGCTTAGGGAGGAAAAGGGAGAACATCTCAGGGGGGGACGGGGGAGGGAAAGATCTTAGAGGGGAAGGAGGGCAAGGGGACAATTCCAAAGGGACGCAAATAAGAAAGCAGGCCTGTCATGTCGGCGGCCTGAGCCGGAGGCGTTAAAATATATCTGAACGGGGTCCGTCTCATCTCCGAAGTGGACCGTCTCATCAATGTCCATTTTACCTACAAGCTGAAAGGACTCCTCTAGTGAAACCCTCTTTCTGCGTGTTGGAAGCCCTTCATGCTTATCAGAGAAGAAAGCCATGGGACAAATCGTTGCCTGGTTGCAATTTACTCTAATTCACATCAGGAAATAAGAATCCGTACAAGCTTCATGGCCGAGGTCGTTTCGCCCGTTCTAACTTGTGGAGACCCCTGAGATCCTCAAACATTCCCCTGGTGGCCACCAAATGGCAGTGGGTCAAATATAGGTACCCAAAATGGAACCCCTGTAAATGGAAACGTGGGTTCAATTCTGACCCATACCCAGATGGAAACGACCGGGTCCCACGGTCCCACCGAACCGAACTGCTGAGTTCTACGCGCGCCTGGCTCAGCTGCTCGGCACAGTCCACGGCCTCCACCAGCTGCTCTGGGGCGATCTCCACCCGGTCCGGGCGCTTGTCGCTGCGCCGCCTGCCCGGAAAAGCCCGGAAGCCCAGAGATGCAGACGGCCGGCGTCTCTAGCCTCTGGGAAGTGTCCAGAAGTTTTGCACTGCGAAGCCCCCTGCTTGATCTCCGCCCCCAGAAAGCCCTGTCAACTTTGAATCTGGGCCTGAGTCCTCCTTGTTGCAGATCATGCGCAAGGAAGACGCGAAACTATCGAACACATTCGACACCTGATGGGAAACCTGGTTAAATCACATCAAACCCAGAAGACGATGGAAACAGTCCCCTCTTTGATCTCCGCCCCAATTCATTTTGGGGGTGGCTCAGTTGTGGGGGTGTGCCAATATGTCACGATGAATCATCCCCCACACCTTAGGGGGGACTTCCCTACCAACGGGGCGACAGTATCAATGAATGGAGCTGCCTGGGTCGACGCAGTCAGCCCACCCCCAATTCAACTTGTTTTGGGGTGGGCATGTAACCAAGATGCCCATAGGGAGACACGACTTAAGTTTGCAATGAGAACATAAGAAGAATCTGGGGGGCAAGGAGTGATGCGGTGGCTTCGGGTGCCAATCCCGAGTCTAAATCCTTGTGTTGACTTTTGTGGGCAACAGAGTCCCTCATCTTGTCAACTTACCGTTCTCATGAAGTTCTTGTACGCATCCACATGGCCGTCAGCGTCGAAAACATCCTCCCTCCAAATGGCGCTGGTGTCAGGTCCGTCTCTTCAGGCTTGCCGCCCAATTGCTTGCAAGGCGCAGAGTCATTGAAGTCCATATCCGCACCTTCCGTCAAAGGACGCGTGTTGTGTTTGGCTCCGAAGGCAGAATGCTGGAGAAAGTTCCTAACCCCTTTGATTCATCAAATCAATCAGCCTCACGCTGCCTTAAGGAGCGGAGGTTCCCCAATTCATGGCTCCAGTCTTCTCCGTAGGGAAATGGCACTGATGGAATTCCAAAGCTTCCCCCAACAAAGACTGGTGAATCACCTGGGCAAAGTTGCAATTCACATAAATTGGGATTGGGAAGTCAGAACCCCCTACCCGGGATCTTCATGCCTTCGCGTGCCCCCGGCTTCGTTTGTTTCTTCGCGCTTGCCGGTCTCCGGGTCTCCCGGCCTCGGAGTTTTGGGAGTCCCCCAGCAAGAGGCCCATAACCTCCTCGCGCTCCGTCATCAAGGCATGGCCCAGGCACACCTTCGGACGGCTGGTAACGACAGGAAGCAGTACCGTCTAAACACATGCCAAGGGTGAGGACGCAAGCGTGGGTCCCTCTCTTTGGATATGCGTTTTGGTGGTCTTTTCGGTGAACATCTATTTGATCGCGGTTTCGGTCCACCCACTTTGGAGGGTGTTCCCACATGAAAACTCATAGCCATCTCTGCCCAAGGTGCAGAAAAAAAGAGCGGGCTGAAACCACGACACAAATTGTTCAGCATTACCACGACAAAAAAGAACGTTGCCACGACAAACCATGCAACTGTTACGCAACTAAGAATCGTAGCGGCCATCCCGCCAAGCACGGAAATACAAACGAAATACAAAGGAAAAGCAAAGGAGATAAAAAGGAAATTCCAAAGGACATACAAAGGAAATACAAAAGAAATGTAAAGGAAGTACAAAGCCAATATAAAGAAAACACAAAGGACATACACCTAAAATGGAAACAACATGCAATGAATATGCGAAGGAAATACAAAGGACATGTAAAAGGAAATGAACAGACCATACAAGGAACTGCAGAGGACACACCAAGCTATCGCAAAGGAAATACAAAGGAAATACAAAGCAAATGCAAAGGAAATACAAAGGACATACAAAGCAAATACAAAGGAAATATAAAGGAAAAACAAAGGAACTACAAAGGACATATAAAGGAAACACAAAGGAAATACAAAGGATTTTCAGAGGAAATGCACAAGGAAATGCAAAGGAAAATAAAGGACATACAAAGGTAATGCGAAGGAAATCCGCCGACAACAGACGGCGTGTTGGACATAAGAAATGCTCCTTACCTCTTTACCTGTTACCCCTCCCCTAACCAGGGGCAGCATTTCAGACTATTGCGGGGGGGGGGGGGGTCCACGTACCACGCGGTGATTCGAAGACGCTTCACTAAATCTGTTCATTGTGCGGGTTTGCGCAACTCAGTTTGTCAAAAACATTGGGGTGTTCGATTCCCCCCGGGTGCGCTTTCGCATCCTTAGCAGTTCCAGTGGCACATCGCCAGCATCACCTGCATCATCCGCATCAGCGCCTGCCAAGGATGCGGATGATGCAAGTGATGCTGGGGATGTTGCCCATGCTGGTGAAGGAAATGAAGGGGGGAAAGGGGAAAGGATCTCAACAGCGAAAGGGGGGGAAAGATCTCAGAGAGGAAAGGGAGAAGATCTGGGGAAAAAATGCCTTAAGGGGGAAAGGGGGAAAAAGATCTTTGGGAGGAAAATGGAAATCTTTCTCGGGGGGAACAGGCCCTAAGGGGCAATGGGGGGACAGGATCTCAAACGGGAAAGATCTCAGGGAGGAAAGGGAGAAGATCTGGGGAAACATGCCTTAAGGGTGTTGAGATCCTTTCCCCCCTTCCCTTTAAGCTCTCCAGATCTTCTCCCTTTTCCTTCCTAAGATTGTTTCCCGCCTTTCCCTGTTGAGATCCTTCCCACCCTTTCCCCCCTCAGGCCTTTCCCCCCCCCCTGAGAGCTTCTCCCTTTTCCTTTCCTTCCTTACATCTTTCCCCCCTTTCCCTGTTGGCCTTTTTCTCTCAGATCTTCTCCCTTTCCTCCCTAAGATCTTTTCCACCCCTTTCCCTGTTGAGATCATTTCTCCCCTTTCCCCTCTACGGCCATTGCCCCCAGATCTTCTCCCTTTCCTCCCTAAGATCTTTCCCCCCCTTTCCCTGCTCAGATCCTTTCCCCCCTTTCCCCCCTAAGGCCTTTCCCCCCCTGAGATCTTCTCCCTTTTCCTCCCTAAGATCTTTTGCCACCTTTCCCTGTTGAGATCCATTCCCCCTTTCCCCCCTAAGGCCCTTTCTCCCTCTGAGTTTTTCCCTTTTCCTCCCTACGATGTTTTCCCCCCTCTCCCTGTTGAGATCCTTTCCCTCCTTTCCCCCCTAAGGCCTTTTTTCCCCCCGCGATCTTCCCCCTTTTCATTCCTAAGATCTTTTCCCCCCTTTCCTTGTTGAGATCCTTTCCCGCCCTTTCCCCCCTAAGGCGTTTTCCCCCCAAGATCTTCTCCCTTTTCCTCCCTAAGATCCTTTGCCCCCTTTCCCTGTTGAGGTCCTTTCCCCTCTTTCCCCCTAAGGCCTTTTCCCCCCCCTAGAGATTCTTCCCCCTTGTCCTCAGCTACCCCCAATATCTTTTCCTTCTTGTATGACGACTCCCTTTCGCCTTCCCTCCCAAGATCTCTCCTCGTTCTTCTCCCCCTCCTCTCCCACCTTTCCCTGTTCAGCTCCTTTCCCCCTTTTCCCCCTAAGGCCTTTTCAGATCTTCTCCCTTTTCCTCCCGAAGATCCTTTGCCCCCTTTCCCTGGCCTTCCCCCCCCCTGAGCTTCTCCCTTTTCCTTTCCTTCCTTACATCTTTCCCCCCTTTCCCTGTTGGCCTTTTTCTCTCAGATCTTCTCCCTTTCCTCCCTAAGATCTTTTCCACCCCTTTCCCTGTTGAGATCATTTCTCCCCTTTCCCCCCTACGGCCTTTGCCCCCAGATCTTCTCCCTTTCCTCCCTAAGATCTTTCCCCTTTCCCTGCTCAGATCCTTTCCCCCCTTTCCCCCCTAAGGCCTTTCCCCCCCTGAGATCTTCTCCCTTTTCCTCCCTAAGATCTTTTGCCACCTTTCCCTGTTGAGATCCATTCCCCCTTTCCCCCCTAAGGCCCTTTCTCCCTCTGAGTTTTTCCCTTTTCCTCCCTACGATGTTTTCCCCCCTCTCCCTGTTGAGATCCTTTCCCTCCTTTCCCCCCTAAGGCCTTTTTTCCCCCCGCGATCTTCCCCCTTTTCCTTCCTAAGATCTTTTCCCCCTTTCCTTGTTGAGATCCTTTCCCGCCCTTTCCCCCCTAAGGCGTTTTCCCCCCCAAGATCTTCTCCCTTTTCCTCCCTAAGATCCTTTGCCCCCTTTCCCTGTTGAGGTCCTTTCCCCTCTTTCCCCCCTAAGGCCTTTCCCCCCCTGAGATCTTCTCCCTTGTCCTCCCCAAGATCTTTTCCCTTGGTTGAGATCCTTTCCCCCTTTTTCCCCCCAAGATCTTCTCCCTTTTCCTCCCCTTCTCCCACCTTTCCCTGTTGATCCCCCTCTCCTTTTTTTCTCCCTTTTCCGAAGATCCTTTGCCCCCTTTCCCTGTTGAGATCCTTTCCCCCTTTCCCCCCTAAGGCCTTTTCCCTGCCTGGGATCTTCTCCCTTTCCTCACTGAGATCTCTTTCCCCCCCTTTCTCTGTTGAGATCCTTTCCCTCCTTTCCTTCCTAAGGCCTTTCCCCCCGCTGAGATCTTCTCCCTATTCCTCCTTAAGATCCTTTGCCTCCTTTCCCCGTTGAGATCCTTTCCCTTCTTCCCTTTAAGGCCTTTCCAGATCTTTGCCCTTTTCCTTCCTAAGATTGTTTCCCCCCTTTCCCTGTTGAGATCCTTCCCACCCTTTCCCGCCTAAGGCCTTTCCCCCCTGAGAGCTTCTCCCTTTTCCTTCCTTAGATCTTTCCCCCCTTTCCCTGTTGGCCTTTTTTCCCCCAGATCTTCTCCCTTTCCTCCCTAAGATCTTTTCCACCCCTTCCCTGTTGAGATCATTTCTCCCCTTCCCCTCTAAGGCCTTTGTCCCCAGATCTTCTCCCTTTCCTCCCTAAGATCTTTCCCCCCCCCCCTTTCCCTGCTGAGATCCTTTTCCCCCTTTCCCCCCTAAGGCCTTTCCCCCCCCTGAGAGCTTCTCCCTTTTCCTTCCGAAGATCTTTTCCCACCTTTCCCTGTTGGGCTTTCCCCCCTAAGTCCTTTTCTCCCAAATCTTCTCCCTTTCCTCCCTAAGATCTTCCCCCCCCTTTCCTCCCTAAGATCTTTCCCACCCTTTCCCTGTTGAGATCCTTTCCCCCCTTTCCCTCCCAAGGCCTTTCCCCCCCCTGAGAGCTTCTCCCTTTTCCTTCCTAAGATCTTTTCCCCCCTTTCCCTGTTGGGCTTTCCCCCCTAAGTCCTTTTCTCCCAGATCTTCTCCCTTTCCTCCCTAAGATCTTCCCCCCCCCCTTTCCTTCCTAAGATTGTTTCCCCCCTTTCCCTGTTGAGATCCTTCCCACCCTTTCCCCCCTGAGGCCTTTCCCCCCCTGAGAGCTTCTCCTTCCTTAGATCTTTCCCCCCTGTCCCTGTTGGCCTTTTTTCCCCCAGATCTTCTCCCTTTCCTCCCTGAGATCTTTTCCACCCCTTTCCCTGTTGAGATCATTTCTCCCCTTTCCCCCCTAAGGCCTTTGCCCCCAGATCTTCTCCCTTTCCTCCCTAAGATCTTTCCCCCCCTTTCCCTGCTCAGATCATTTCCCCCCTTTCCCCCCTAAGGCCTTTCCCCCCCTGAGATCTTCTCCCTTTTCCTCCCTAAGATCTTTTGCCATTTTTCCCTGTTGAGATCCATTCCTCCTTTCCACCCTATTTCTCCCTCTGAGTTTTCCCTTTTCCTCCCTACGATGTTTTCCCCCCTCTCCCTGTTGAGATCCTTTCCCTCCTTTCCCCCCTAAGGCCTTTTTTCCCCCCGCGATCTTCCCCCTTTTCCTTCCTAGGATCTTTTCCCACCTTTCCTTGTTGAGATCCTTTCCCGCCCTTTCCCCCCTAAGGCGTTTTCCCCCCCAAGGTCTTCTCCCTTTTCCTCCCTAAGATCCTTTGCTTGCTTTCCCTGTTGAGATCCTTTCCCCCCTTTCCCCCCTAAGGCCTTTCCCCCCCTGAGATCTTCTCCCTTGTCCTCCCCAAGATCTTTTCCCTTGGTTGAGATCCTTTCCCCCTTTCCCCCCAAGATCTTCTCCCTTTTCCTCCCTAGGATCCTCTCCCACCTTTCCCTGTTGAGCTCCTTTCCCCCTTTTCCCCCTAAGGCCTTTTCAGATCTTCTCCCTTTTCCTCCCGAAGATCCTTTGCCCCCTTTCCCTGTTGAGATCCTTTCCCCCTTTCCCCCCTAAGGCCTTTTCCCTGCCTGGGATCTTCTCCCTTTCCTCACTGAGATCTTTCCCCCCCTTTCCCTGTTGAGATCCTTTCCCCTCCT